TATTTCTAATAAATAAAAAATATTTTTGACAAATTCAAACGTTTCATTTTATATATATATATATATTAAGAATTTTAAGAAATTAATAATTATAATCAAATTATTCTAAAATTTCGAATGTTTACATATTTAAAAGAAACAAAAATAGTTTCAAAATCCTTTAACTTTTTAAGGATACTTTAGAATTTCTCTTAATACGAATTTTACGAAATTTGTGATTTGTAATAAACATCTTTTAATAATAAAGAAGTCGCTAGCATCAAGTTAAAATTGTATTACTAAGTTTTTTCTAACAAAAGTTTTATATTGTATTACTAATTTTTTTCTAACAAAAGTTTCATATAGTTTCTTTAGATGTTTCTTTTCAATTAGGTTCATGGAGTTTCTTTAGATATTTCTTTTCTAATTGAAATTAGAGTTTCAGTTTTGCAATCTATTTAATATTTTAAAGATTTGTATTAAGAGTCAATATAGATTACTTCAAATAAATCACGTTTTATTAAAAGTCAACATAAATAACTTCAAAGTAAAACTTTATTCTTCTAAAAACAAGGAAATTTTTTTTCCCGTAGAGAAATTTTTTAATGCACTTTGAGCCTATATTAAAAGTCAACATAAATTATCGAGTTGAAACTTTATTCTACTGAAAATTAAAAAAAAAAAAATTTATTAGAGAAATTTTAAAAAAGGTCGTCCATATTTACGGGATCTATATAAGTTTTGCATGTCCTGATGTTCTTGACTTTTCTGTTTAAATTAGATACATTGTAGAAGTGGTGCTTTAAGAATGAATGTGAATGGTTGACAATTAACAAAACTTGGGTATGTCTTCCTTTGCAGTTATTTCCTAATGACAGAGAACTACGAGATGCTGCAATAGAAGCAGGGGAAGTTGTGTGGAAGAGTGGATTGGTGAAGAAGGTGGGACTTGCTGATGGGGTATCTGGAAATGCCTATGCCTTCCTATCCCTCTATCGACTCACTAAAGAGAGTATATACGAAGAGAGAGCAAAATCATTCTCTTCCTTCTTGTATGACAATGCAAGATCTCTGGCTGCTGCAAATGGCTATTCACTTTTCCAAGGACTTGCTGGCACAGCATGCCTCTGGTTTGATCTGCTTGCACCCGAAAACTCAAGGTTTCCAGGCTATGAATTATAGATGCTTCGTTCCACTACAGATAGTACTGAATTATTGTGTAACATAACATGAACCTGGCGTGAATATAGCAAACTCACCATAGGGTTCCGCTGCTGTAAAGAATTTAGGTGATATTGCGTACCGATTGCCTTTTTCTGCAATCTAATATTTCATCAGATACAAAATTTACCTTGCACTTTTAATTAAATAAAAGTAATTAATTATACGTTAAAATAAAAATGAAGATCTTTTATATCTTTTATATAATATATTTAATAATTTTTATTTACATATTTATCTTTTATAATTTTTATCTTTACATATTATATTATTAAATATTACACCATTTAAGTAAATGATATATTTTTGGATCTTATTTTATATAATTAATAAACATTCAATTAATCAGGACAAATATTTTCTATCTTTTAAAATAAAAAAATTACATATTTTTATTTTAAAATAGTGACCATAATTGCTTGACTAAAATAGAAAAAATAAAAATTCTACTTCATCTTTTTTTTTTCTTCTCTAAATTGATAGAACTAAATTAGATTTAGATTATTAGAAATTAACTAGTTTGTAGAGTCGTGGTAAAAAATATTAATATATTAATTAATATATGCTTATTTTAAAATATATAAATTATTTTTTGTGTTATAATGAATAAATATAATTTAAAAATTAGTGGTTTGAAACAAATAATAATAATATGCTTTTGAAATGGATAAAATATATATATATAATTAATCAACCTGATAACTAACTAGATAAATTATTATGAAAGTAATTTCTTAAAAAAATGACATGACTCATTATGCCTTATATTACAAATAATAGGTTTCACTATTATTTTTAACCATGAATAAATATTATACAAATCCAATGGAGAATATCATTACAACAAAAAGATAGATTGTAATTGCATGAATCTAATGAAGCTCTTAAATTGCAATTTTTAAAGTAACATATTTTCAAATTATTACCATCACATTTGCCTTTTACCTTATACATGCCTTTCAATAAAAGCACTATTTGACTAAAAAAAATGAAGTCTCAACAATTTTTCTCTTGAATTTTCCTTGTTATTCTCAATAATAAAAGGTCTGAAACAAACACAACTCATTATGCATAGACAGCATAACAACAACCTTTAATCACAAAATTATTCAAAATCTGAATGTTTTTCATCTCTTTAATTACATTCCCAAAATATAATCTTAGTATGATCATGTTCATTTCATTACCCATAATCACTAATGTTAATACACACAAAATCAAATTGTAAAAGTATTTTGATAACCTCGAATATGATCTTAAATCACTCAATTCATAAAAATCCAATAGCATAACCAAAAAAATTACAACTTGAAATTCAACAAAAGCAAATCTCAAAAATCTTTAAAATGGTAATAATGAAATGCATTTTTTTACACAATGAAATGATTTATGTTGTCCTCTCCCGCACGTTTCACTGTTTGTTAGCTTCTTCATCTTCTACTACTTATGATCTCATCCATAAATAGGCAATCACATTCTATTAGCCTTTGGAGTTTAAGTAATGACGACTTGTAGTGGTTGAAGTCAATGACATCTCATATTTTCTCTTTTTATAATGTAAATTTGCACTCAAATAGTATATGATGAAATACATAGGAAAATCTAGAATAATACCGGTAGTTTTAGTAACAATGAAGAGGGGTTAAACGAAGGTAATTTTGGTTTGTTCATGGTAGGAAAATATATATAGTTTGATTGGAAATAGAAAAGGATGAACGAGCAAGAAGTTTAGGAGTTAAAGTTACAAAATGTGAATGAGTGCTTCATTGAAATATGGACAAATGCAAAATGTGTCTTCTCATTTTTTTTAGCTGAGTGCTCCATTGGAAACATTAACATATGCATAATGTGAGTGAATGTGAGTTAAATACATATCAAGAACATTAATAATTTTAATGGGTTTAAGTTAGATTATATTTCAAATTCAATTAATGACATGCAATTAATAAGATAATAAATTATTGAATGAGAAATGTGTTTCAATTTGAGCGAGAAAAAAAAGTTGCTGAACTTCTTCACTTTATACATACACACACAAATACATATACACACACACACACACACATATATATATATATATATATATATATATTGGTAATTATCTTGATTAAAATAAAAGTATTGAGAAAAACTATAATTTAACAAAGACTTATAATAACTTAAATGAATGAGTTTTGACTAGATGATAATCAACATTTGAGAGTGAATGAATTAATGGATACCTTTGTCTCAATATCAATAATGTAATGTTAGACCTCACGATTAAATGTTGATCATAATCAAACCATCTCAACAAAATTTAAATAAAAAAATATTAATAAGAAGATACTAATAAATTTAATTTAAAAAATAATCATGCTTCATCAATCAAGTCACAATTTGAAAGGTAAAAAAATATGATTCTCTCCAAAACCATGCAGAACAATTGCATTGAATTAAAAAGGTCTAACAATAAAACAAAATAAAATAAAACGCTTAATGCCTAAGAAGTTCTAAACTTAAAAGGGTCATCACAAGTTGACGAGGAGGAGGTAGTGTAACAATGTAGAAAATCAAATGTAGAAAATCAATAGAGGAAGGAGCAACAACAAAGTTGACTTGATGAGTTAGAAAGGAATCAACTCCAAGTCTTATTTACATAGAAGTAGTTGATTCTTTCATATAAATTGCAAAGAGTGAAAGAAACTATCCTTTAAGAAAATATGTACTTTTGGAAGAAGTAGCCTTCTCATGCAAATAGTTACCGCAAATTTTATTGTCAAATATTAAGTGTGTATGGATAATTTTTCTAACTAATAAGATATGTGAGATGAAGAATGATAGTATGGTTACATAACTATTTGTATTTATAATTAGAAAATCAACCCAGAATGATTTTAAAAGGAAGAGGAATGGATATTTAGTAAATTGCGTAGAATTAATTTTCGAAGGTAACAATTCATTTTAAATGGAGAGTATATACTTAATAGGAGTGCCTCAATTGTGTATATATGTGCAATAAATAGATAGGAGTCAAAAAGATAAATGACAGTAACTTAAAAGAAAAAGGCGAAAAAATATTATAAAAGAACTTCTTCATTTTACATATATCAAGATTGTTGAATGAAATATTCAATGTGTAATAATAGGAAAAAGAAAAGTACTAATTACTCTCACTCCTACCAAATTTTTTAGTATTAGCTACTCAATAATTTCAAATAATTATATATTAACCTGTCAAATTTGATTTCAGATAAAAATAAACTTGCGAGTCAAGAAGAATTATAGAAGTGTCCATTTGAATAAATATTTAATATTTTAAGTATGTTTGAATATAAATTTAAAAATATTTTAAAGAATTTTTTTACTAAGAATAAAAAACTTTTTAATAAAGAAGCTTTAGAAAAATACTTCTAATTTGTGTAAAAAAACTGATGTTATAATTTTTAACCATTAATAATTAATTAACACAAATAATTGGTATTAATTAGTGTAATATAGTTAACATATAACTATATTTTTTTAATCATGCTATTGATACAAAATAGTCACGAAAGTTAAATTTTGTCGGGGACTATGAATACATACATTATAGATATTTCCCTCCCAAGTATAATGTTAAAAAAAAAATATTCGTCTTTGTACGTTCGTGAAATTATTATTTTTTATTGTAAATTTTTTTATTTATTAATTTCACGGTTATTTAAGAAATGAAGAAAAAGAAATATAACTATATTTTCAGGCATACGTTGAATCCTCATATTTTGTATTATTCTTTTACTTTCCATTTTGACAAGAGGATATTCTTAAAAAAAGAAAAGAAAAAAAGACAAAAACAAAAGGGTAGTATTGAAAAGTAGAGGATGGGCCTATTGTGTTTGAAAGAGAAAGACCCACCGAAGCCCATTGTGTTTAACGCTAGTTGAATGAGGTAGCACTAAGCCACTAACACTAGCAGTGTAGTGGTGTGAAACTGCAAGTGCAAGTGCAAGGCGATGGGGAGAGGAAAAGGAGGGAAGAGTCGCACTCAAAGAAAGCATTTCCAGGAGAACAGGGAGAACGTGTGGAAGTCGAAACGTCCTAAATCAGATTCATATTCAGATCCTATTCCTATCAGCAACCCCTATGAAACTCAAAACCCCGCTTTCGATCACTATTACAAGGCAACCAGTGCTTCCTTCATCTCATCCTCCTTTAGTAACTTCTTCTCCTTCATTCGCTCATTTCTTTCATTTTTCTTTTTCAGGATCAGAGAATCGTGTCCTCAGAAGAATGGGATGCTTTCGTACAAGTTCTCAGAACTCCTTTGCCGGCAGCATTCAGAATCAATTCCACGTAATTATTTATTTGCTTCTATTCTATCGATTTCACTTCTTTTTTTTTAATCTGAAGTGCTATTGAATTTTGAACTTGTGTCAACCGCTCAATTGTCTAGTAACTAACTTGAACTAAATAAGAAGCTAGTTAACCAACTGTAACGGAATTTCAAAATACAAAATAATTGCACATGCGTAGTAATGATATTCAGATCCATTTGAATCCAATTTCTAATTTCACACTGTCAATAAGAAATTATGATGTAAAAGTCAACTAGCGTTTCATGCGTGACAATTTGTGATTGGATATGATGGTGTAAAATTTCTTTACACCGTAAGTGCACAAACTATTTTCTCAATTTACATTGGTGCATATTTCAATTTTCAGTTCTGTAATTATTTTTATTTGGCAATTCCAGTAGCCGGTTTTGTGTGGATATTCGGTCCCAACTGGAGAATGATTTTATGCATTCTCTTCAGGCCGAGGTAAGTCATCAACAGCAATTCCTTTTGGTGGTTGAAGTCTATCGATCTCTGCATTTTGGTCCTGAATTGTTGTTATATATAGGTTGCGGAAGGGGATAATACGGAGGCTATTGTACCTTTGCCATGGTATCCTGAGAATCTTGCTTGGCATTCGAATTTTTCCCGTAAGCAGCTCAGGAAGAATCAAACACTTGGGAGGTAAATAAGTTTTCATACATGAATGACGTGAACTGAACCAATTTAAGTTTGGTGTTAGATTAGATATGTAGATCTCAATTCTCAGTAACAATGCAACAACCAGCAGTTCATATTGATAAGTTATGTTTATTACTTGATGTTTGGTTGATTACCTAACTATGATGACGATGCTTATGATGACTCTTGTCAGATTGATTGGTCACATTTAATTATGTTTTCGGCTTTTCGCTTTATATCAGAATCCATGATTCTGTCAAACAATTAATTAATTAAAATTAATTATGCATGTAAGTTAGTTCTTATGACTAACACGTCAATTCCTGTTTCTTATTGTGTTAACTATGATTATGACTTGATGTTCTGTCAATTATTTTTCTATGAATCTATGATGTCCATATGCTGATGACTCTTGCAGGACTGGTTTGTCGCATTTAATTGTGATTCTTTCAATCTTGCCTTATATTAGAATGCATGATTCTGCCAAACACTTAACTATTTGAATTTAATTATGTGTACAAGTTATTTTTTATGACTAATATGTCAATTACTGCTTCTTATTGTGTTAATCTTTCAGGTTTCATGAATTCTTAAAGCTAGAAAATGAAATTGGAAATATTACAAGGCAGGAAGCTGTCAGCATGGTGGGCCAGTTTACGTGCTGTCTATCATTCTTCATGATCACACAAAGTGATTAGCATTTGTTTTAGAAATATCGATGGATTTATGCATGTAGTTTACTTTAGGAACTAACCTTTCAAGATTTAACTTGTGCTCACAAATGTTTGTTTGCTATGCAGGCACCTCCCCTGTTCTTGGATGTACATTCAAACCATTTTGTACTTGATAGTAAGCAACTTGTATTGCACTGAAGTACTTGTTATTTTTTCTAGCTCTTTTGCTGTTTTGCTTGTTTGCAATGCAAATTGCAGTGCTTCTAAGTATTTTCCTTCTTTGTTGCTTTTGTTCAGTGTGTGCAGCACCAGGTTCAAAAACATTCCAATTGCTTGAGATTTTACACCAAACAACTAAAGTTGGATCTCTGCCTGACGGAATGGTTTGTGTCTTTATATAATGTTATTATGTATTTTACTGGTGAACCTTATTTTATTTTCCATACTTAATAGTTTACTAAATATGACCTGTTCTCATCAAGCTTCATATGCAAACTATATCCGTTCCTCTTTCTTTGTTTGATAATTAGGTTATAGCAAATGATCTAGATATCCAAAGATGCAATCTTCTCATTCACCAAACTAAACGGATGTGCACAGCCAACCTAATTGTCACCAATCATGAAGCTCAACACTTCCCAGGATGTCTTTTAAATAGAAATTGTGATAAAATGGAGCCAAATCGGCAAGACCAGCTATTATTTGATCGTGTTCTGTGTGATGTCCCATGTAGTGGTGATGGCACCCTTCGTAAGGCACCTGATCTTTGGAGGAAATGGTAATTTTCATTCCTTACTTGGCCACATTCTTCTCATTTCTTCTTTTCTCTTCAACCACCATTTTCTTTTTATTTCTTAAGGGTGATTTTCTTGTATAAAGGAACACAGGTACAGGGAATGGGCTTCATAACCTACAAGTTCTAATTGCTATGCGAGGTATATTTTGATTATTTTCTACCTGTTTTTAGGATCTAGCTTTTTTTTGCTGGTTTTGATGTTTCGTGCTTAGATGTGATTGATGTAAGACAAAAAAGCTGGGTAAATCATAATCATGTTTTAGTCTATTGGGTAGGGATTAGGGAATTTGTATCATGCTGATAAATAGTTCATTTATGGGTAAAACAAACACTTATTTTCTCAATTGCTATCTCTATGGATATAATAAGGATACACTCGTGGGTGATTTAGCAGAGAAGTTGTATTGACTATTGAAGATGAAAAGCATTCTTGTTCATTTTACACAACCAAATCATTTTGTATTTTTTTGTAGCTTAAACAGACTGCCTCTCGTTGCCCTGGTTCATAATGTTTTAAAGATAATATTAGGATCAACTGCTATTTATTATCATAGCTGAATATACATGAATTAGGGTGCATGGGAGTTGAGATTTGGCTTGTGAGACGATTTTGACAAACTCAACCACTCTTTTGATGTTCTTAGGTGTATCTTTACTTAAAGTTGGTGGAAGAATGATTTATTCAACGTGCTCAATGAATCCTATTGAGAATGAAGCTGTTGTTGCAGAGGTAATGAACCTTGAAAGCTCTGTAATTATATTGGTGCCAACCATGCTATCTAGTCTGTCCAGTTGTGGGCTGTTTAATTAAAGTGCTATATTTTCGAAAGATCAAGTAAATAATTCGTACTTTTATATGTAAACTTGTTTCTTCCATTGATGCAGCCCCCTGCCCCATCTAAATAGTTTAGGAATATTAGGGATCAATTGGTTGGTTTCTTAGATATCTAATAGATAACATGTTTTTAACTTTTTCTTATTAAACATGGACCTTGATTTGAAGAAAGTATTTGATAGCAATGTGTAATTTAATTAATGAAAGCTGACTGGAGCTAGCTATCAATAGTTCACTTACACTCGCATCTATCTTCTAGTGGCACATGCCTCATTCCTATTTGTTATTTACTAATTGATGTCCATTCTTTTTTATTACTACAAAGATTTATGTGGTTGTGAATGTAGCTTGTGATTATGAAGGACAAATTCCACCTGAAATGTTTCCGGTTTATAATTAGTATATAACATAAGAATTTGCTTTTTGTTTATTCAACAGAGTTTTCTTTTTTATTGGAAAAATACTCGGAGATTTTCCGTATTTAGAACAAGGTTTATGTTCAATGCTTCAGTCTTGGTATCTAATCGAATTAACATTGCTTGCAGCCCTTTAGTGTTTTATACAGTGAGGGGTTGGGCTTAATTTATTTTCCCCTCACCAATTGTAGGTTTTGCGGAGATGTGCAGGGTCCATTGAACTTGTAGATGTCTCTAGTCAGCTTCCCCAACTTATTCGTCGCCCAGGTCTCAAGAGATGGAAGGTTTGTGTTTTCTGTGACTATTTAATTATTTATTGCCTTATGGATTGGAGTTTTGAAGATAAAACATGTAATGTCTGGAAATGGCTATATTGATTGGCTTAATCATGGCAAAGTCGAGCAAGACTCCTCTTTCTGTAGTTTAGGAGGCGATAATGCCTTCATTTTTTTTTATTATGAATTAAACTATTTCAATATTCTTATGTCATCTGGAAGGGTTTTGAAGGAAAGCTGTGTGAGTGGGGCTGTCTGAATTTCCTGTCTCCCCTCCCCACTTTTTGTCTGGTTATAATCAATGTTAGTATTATTGAATATGGTATACTTCTCATACTGCAGCTATGGGTAGAAAACAGTATATGGTTTGACTGTTATATCTCCTTACAGCTCGTCACAGGTTGGTTGAATTGTATGCTTCATCAGTGAAAGGTGTTTTGGACTGTTATTGTTCTGGTTGGCTTATTTTTTTAATCGTGGTTTGGTGGTTATTTCTTTATAATTGATTATTCTTATGTCCATCAAGTTATACCCATTTTTACATTCATGTTAAAACATTGAGTTTCAAACTTTCTGAATAGAAAAATGTTTACCCAACTTGAACATGCATTTCCAGCAGAAGATGTTAGATTATTGTGTAATTAATTCAAATGTGGTACTCTAAAAGGGTTTAAGGTTTAAGGTTGAGAGGCCTTTTGGATGATGACTAAAAGCAAAACCATGAGGATTTAGGTCCAAAGTGAACAATATCTTATCATTGTGGAGATGTGTGTGAAATAATCAGGTAAAAACAACAAAGATATAACCTTATTATTCTCTTGATAAATATATCCCCTCAAAGATAAATTCCATAACATAAACCCTATCAGTAATATTAGAGCTACTAGTTGGATTCGGTGACAACTAATAACCCATCCATACAAACAAATAACTAACAAAAATACAATACAAAGACAAATTCTGCTAGATCGGGAGGTTAAGTCTTTTGTTTGAGAGGAGGATTGTTGGGATATAAATAAAGTCCTACATCGTTAAAACAAGAAGAGAAATAAGAGTTTATAAAACACACATACTTCATTAGTTCTGAGGCCTTTTGAGTGATAATCTAAAGTAAAACTATGAGCGTAAAAATCCAAAGTGGACAATATATTGCCATTGTAAAGATGTGTGTGAAGACAAAAACAACAAAGATATAATCCTCTATTCTTGATAGATATATTCCCTCAAAGACAAATACCATAACATAATTCTAACATATGTGCAGGTATGTGACAAGGGTAAGTGGTTAGTCTCTTGCAAAGATGTTCCTAAGTCTCATAGAGGTGTAGTTCTTCCCAGCATGTTTCCAAATGGCGGAAGCTATCAGGATGTTGTTGATAGCCTTGGAGATGATATTATTACTGATGATGTTAATAGAAATTCTGAAGATGATGTTCAAGCCGCGGAGAATCCTGTGATGCATGAATTTATTGAGGAAGATTCTGATTTCCCACTAGAGCGGTGCATGAGGTTAGTGCCTCATGATCAGAATACTGGAGCCTTCTTTATTGCTGTATTACAGAAAATTTCTCCTTTGCCAGGTAATTTCTTATTTGATTTCAGTTGTTTTCCTCTCTCAATCCTGACAGAGATAGTCAGGGAATCCTAACCAATATTGGGAATAACTCCTCTCTGCTGTAGTCCTTTTTAACGTCTTACCTATTTTATGTGTATTCTGATGCGTGCCTTTGCTTTCCATATTAGGTTTTTGATTGTGTGTCCTTTTATGCAGCAATTCAGATAAAACCTAGAAAAGAAGTTGGTAAACCTGTTGACACAGCAAACCCGGGCAATGAGGATGTACAAGAATTGCAGATTAATCCATTGGAAAGTATACCTGAAGAAATATCGGAGGCTAATATAAATGACAATGAACCTAATGCAGCAGATTTGAAAGTTAGTTCTGTTGCATGGGAAGAAGTGGATTTCAAGGAAGCCCAAGATCCCTGCAAAGTAGAAAACATAACAAAGAATACTCCAGGCAAAAGAAAACTACAGTTTCAGGGCAAATGGAGAGGCATTGACCCTGTGTTCTTCTTCAAAGATGAAGTAATCATTAACAGCATAAAGGCATTTTATGGTATTGATGAGCAGTTTCCAGTCAGTGGTCACCTTGTAACAAGAAACAATGATACAAGCCACGTGAAAAGAATTTACTATATCTCCAAGGCAGTCAAGGATGTTCTGGAGATGAACTTCTCAGTGGGGCAGCAACTTAAAATAACTTCTGTTGGCCTGAAGATTTTTGTAAGTATATTTTCTTCTCGATTTAAAAGTTTTGTTACTATAATTTTTTTATTTGATTTATTTATAACATAAGGTCCTTATTTCAAATAAAATTAGACTCCTTTAAAGTGGGAACGTGTGTAAACTAAGAAAGTAATAATGTATTTTGTCCTTAATTCAAAATGGATTAAATTTAATATGCACTTTAATTCAAACAAAAGATAGATACGCCTTTACTTTCTCTTTTCAGAAGAGCAAAATCCTTTTAAATAATTCCAATGCAGCAGAGAGAATAATAACCTTTAAGGACAGATCAGGTTGAGACTTGTGTGGGTAAAGGTAGTGCATAAAAACACAGATATTGCAGTAGTAAGCATGACTTTGAGTACAGAGTTAATGGTTTCTATTTCTGGTTTTCTTGATTATGTTTGGAATACATGTTGAATTTTATGGGCTATGAATCACGGTAAACTACTGCACTACGTGATTTCGTTTAGCCGTGAGAATTGATATTCAATTATTGACATTGTAAAATAAAATCTAGATAGTTCAGAATTTTTTGAAAACCTAATAATTACTTTGCAATGAAATAAATAATTATTAATCAGCCCTTGCCTGTCAGTCAGAAATGAGTTCTTTGATTAGTTTTTGTTCATGTGAATAAGTGAAATATACTTCCCCCGATCATACAGGAAAGACAATCGTCATGTGAAGGCAGGTCTGCACCATGTGCTTTCCGGATCACTTCTGAAGGATTGCCCCTTATTCTCCCTCACATCTCCAAACAGATACTAAGTGCATCGGTTATAGACTTCAAGCATCTTCTGCAGTATAGAGCTGTAAAATTTGCAGATTTTGTGGATGCTGAGTTTGGTGAAAGGGCTACAAACCTAATGCCTGGTTGTTGTGTGGTAGTTTTGGGTGAAGGTATGCTCCACCATGATGCAATTGCAGAGAGTAAATGCCCATTAACTTGATTCTCTATCTGACCTTCTCCTCCTTTTTCTGAAGGGAACAGAGCTGCTACAGGCCCCCCCCAAGTGGATGAGTCAACAATAGCCATTGGATGCTGGAAGGGTAGAGGAAGTTTGACTGTGATGGTTGGTGCATTGGAATGCCAAGAACTGCTCGAAAGGCTTTTAATGCGACTAGACACTGTAACAGAAAAGGACTCCTCCATGCATGAGGACAAACCATCTGATGACAAGGGAGATGAAGCAAACGGTAAAAATGAAGATGAGGTGGAAGTTACTGGGTGTTAAAAGTGCATAATTTATCACTGATTATTTATTACTATGAGTAGTGAATCTAGGTTTTTTACTTTTTTATTCACATCTCCTATCCTTCTTACTTTTTAGTCATGGCTCCCACCTCCTAACTCCCATCCTACTTATAAGAACATTTATAGAATTTGAGGCTTTCGCATCACCCGTGAAAATTGCAAGTTTTTCTTGTGTACATTTTTTTGTGCGTCCTGTTCTTTTATAGCCAAGTTAGCAAGCTTTGTTCAAATTTGTACCAATATTCCATATTCCATAACGTTTAGGAAGTTTACCTGAAACCAGCATGACATTTTAAAGTATTAGAAAGTTGCTCCAGGTTGCATATAGGTTATCCGTGATATGGGCTGGACATTAACTAAACGCAGCCCAAGATTTTTAGTTATGGGCAGAGGTCTCAGTTTACTTCTATCTTTTAGGGATTCTATTTATACATCCTTTTTTTTTTTAATGTCTCCGCAACCCTCTGCACTTTTGTATTTTTTTCTTTACAAAATCTTTCTCAAAATTTAGTTTCTAAATATTTTTATACAATCTGAAAATTAGTTTTCAGCACATCTACAACCTGTTTAAAAATAAATTTGAAATCATTGTTTTAAAACTTGTATCAGACTCCCCGGCAAGTACAACTAAAAATCAACTTGATGACTGGTACTCCCAAAGATTGGAGCATCTCAGAACAGTTGAAAAATTGGTGCTGATGAGCTATTTGATCCAAGATTTTCTCAAAAAAGATTTTTTACTTAATTATAGTACTTTTAGATTTAATTATTTTGATTCTTTATCTTATTTTTTGGATTTATTTTGATGATTTATCTCTTAAATTTAGATAAGTTTAATCTTTTTAAATCCTTTTATAACTGATTAGTGAGATTGAGACATTCTGTCTTTATATTTATTTAAAAGTGTTTAAAAATTATTAATATTTGTTAAATTAATTGATATTGTATTTAGTCTTTAAATCTCATGGTCTTGGATTCAAATATTAAATTTAGTTAATTTTTAATATTATTTTTTATTATTTAAAAATCTAAGAATAAGTTAGTCCAAAAAACATGTATACAAAAAATAAGATATTTCTTTTATAATAAGTATAGATTTAAATTCTATTATATGAAAATTATTAAATACAATTTAAATTCAAATCAAATATGTTATAAACATGATGAAAATTAAATAAAAAAATCAAAAAATATAATTTTATATTATTTTTTAATTGTTTATTATATATAGATTTTCACACAATTTTCACTAAGTGTACTCTTTTTGGATTCAAAAGTCAATTGCATTTATAATTTTTATATAAATGAATCTAATGCTATAAATTTTATATTTTGATTTAAAATTATATCAAAAAATTGAAAATAATCATTCTTTTAAAATGATCAAATTAATTTAAATATAAAAAATATAAATTAAAATGAACACTTTAATAGACAAAAGATGAAAATAAATCTATAAATAAGATAAACAAACAAAAGTATAATTTAACTTACTTTTAACAGACAGGCATCGAGATATATTAGGCTATGGGTATGACTTTTTATAACTAACTATATTTCAAGTCACAAATCCACACCTATCAAAGGATAAAACTTAAATCAGTACCCGTAGTATTTTGTGTTAATTTTCAAACAAACAAAAGTTTTATTTTAAAATTTCAGGATTAACCTAGTGGTTGAGAGGGTAGGGGTCAAGGTAGTTAGAAGTATCAGGAACTAGATTCAATTCTCATTACGATCATCTTTATAATGTTTCTTATCTTTAAAAAAAAAAAAAAAAAAAACTAATGAGATGAAAGTTTTAAATTTAACTGAAAATAATACAAAAAAATACCTAAAACAACACACTTAAAGTTTTATCTCTTACGTACGTTATACCAAGCAAATTGTAAGTACTTCCCTATGCTGGTCTTAACTCTTAATCAGCAACTCATGCAAAATAAATTTTAAATAATGTAAAAATATACAAAAGGAAATGCACCAAACCATTAAAAATTGGTGATAATAACCATGAAATCTAGTAAATTTAAACAAATTATAAAGAAAAGTCAGGACTGACAACACATGCTCCTCTTGGGGATTTCTTGTGCAGGACCAGGAACAATAATCTTCTTACCAGACAGAGATGCTGAGTTGCCATTTCCCTGATTATCATCAGCAGCTAGGTTCTTTTTGTTGACAATGTTGAATATTTCTGTCAAAACAGTCATAAAGGCTGTTTCAACGTTAGTTGCTTCCAGTGCTGAGGTCTCTAAGAAAAATAACCCTTCTTTCTCGGCAAATTCTTTTGCATCCTCTGTGGATACTGCACGCTGGTTCTCAAGATCACTTTTGTTTCCTATAAGAATGATAACTATATTCTTATCAGCATGGTTACGCAGTTCTTCTAACCAACGAGGTATGTGATCAAAGCTTTGACGTTTTGTGATGTCATAAACCAACATTGCCCCAACAGCACCCCTGTAGTATGCACTTGTGACCGCTCTATATCTGTAGAATAAACCATTTATATATCAGGGCAAACTACAAGCAGTATTCGGTGTACTAGTACGTTAACCATGGGCATTGGGTACTATGATTATATGATCAGAAATAAACATGACAATAATGTGAAGATTGAAGCATAGACACAAAAGCCAACAGATTAAAATGACTAGGGAAACATGTGCATACTACGTTACAATTTAACCAGGACAAAAAAATCAAAACCTTACAAACAAACATGTCAAGTCTAATATTATGCCCATGACTTAATGAATGATTTCCCCGGACAGAAAGATACTCAATCATAATGGCCAAATATTTATTCATAACCAGAGTCTCTACAGGATTGAACTAATGAAGTGATAAACTATATGAGGTTGGATCTTGTAAAAGGGACCGGTACTCAGCAAAGAAGCAAACCACGGTTCAAACCCCATTGAGAATGATACCCACATTTAGTATCCAACCATGTTTCAAATAAGAGTCTCTTATAGAGGACAGGATGCTTGTAGGAAGCCAAAGAACTAATAACGTGATACTTTTTTAATTTTAAACATGTAGCAATATTACTCACAACTCCTTCAAGTGCAAACCTCTTGCATATATCGATAATCAATTCATACTAGTTCCACCGACGATTCTGTTTTACTAACATACTGAAAAAATATTCATTTTTAAAGCTTAATCTCATTGAGCAATGATGATATCTAATTAATAATGGAGAAAAGATTCAACATCTTCCTAATTGTGTTTGTAAATTTCATTTCTCTCCCATGTACAGAATGAAATCAGATTATACTACACATGCAATTATGCATTCATAACCATAAACAGCGATCACTTTACAAAAAGATTGTCAGAAATTGCAAAACATGGTTTTTAACATAGTAAAAATGCTTATAATCATAGGCATATCTACTAAGAGCATGTTTGGTTCTCCATCATGGTGAACCAAAATCATATCAAAGGCATAGGCCTACCTACTAAGAGCATGTTTGGTTCTCCCATTATTTCAGTTCACAGATTAAGAAATGGAAAATTTGTCAATACATGTTTCTTATTTATAATGTATGCATAGGACATGGAAGATGGAACTAGTTTAAATGATGCAGTGCACGACAAAAGTATGGGCAACTATAATGATATTCTGATTTGAAAGTAATATTAAAAAAAAATTACATAGGAATCATTTCTAAGGATTTTATTAGGTTATTGTAAATAGTTTAATGCAATTATTACACTATCAAAGTTCTATTAGCATACTATACGGACTACGAAGGTTCTAAAAGAATGGTTACTAGCCAGTGAAGTTCTAATATGCCTACAAAAGGGTGTGCAAACTGTAAGGGCAGTCGGACACCACATATATTTTAACTTGTGAATAATTTTCCGTAGATTTTTCTTTATTCCGAAATAAATTCCATTAACCTGCTAAGTAGTATGCTAGGGTTGATACGTAGGAATCATCTCTGATTCCTTTTCATGCTTTAGTTCTGTGTTAATCACAGTGCACATAGGAACTCAAATCAACTCAACATAGAAGTATGCCAAAAAAAAATGAACCAAACCGAATTATAAAAACCAATCTGTTTTGAGAAAAAAAACCTGAAACACTTTATAAAACTGTTTGGTTTGGTTCTATAAAAAACAAACCATATATGATCTATATATATAGAGAGAGAGAGTTCTAATAACACCGATGTAATTTTTACTAAGTATTACACCGCTCAATAACTTTATATTAAATGTGAATTTTATAAATTCAACCTATAAATTGAAAGTTCATATCACTTTATATGTGTATATCAAATTTTGTTAAAATTAAATAACACTTTAAGGTAATCAAAGTGTTCATATTTTAGTATATCTTAAAATGTATATATTACATCAATTTTGTTTTATAAAAATGAAATATCAAATCATTTTGGATTAATATAAAATTTTAAATATATGGCCTAACAATAAAGAACTTTTAATCTAGCGATTGAATTTACAAAATTTATATTTAATATAAAGTTATTGAGCAGTGTAATACTTAGTAAAAGTTACACCAGTATTATTATAATCCTTTATATATATATATATAATAAAGGAGATACATCGGTTAGTAATCATTTTCATCACTCCATTTTTAGATGATTTTATCTCTAAATTTTAAAAAAATCTATACTCTATACACATATATAAAGGAAATACATCGAATTGTAACTATTTTTTGTCTCCACATTTTTTAATGACTTTACCCATAAATCTTTAAATAATAAAAAATAAAATTGAAATTTACTTTTATTCTTACCACTCAAATAAGTTAATTACACTTAACCACTCAAATCCTCAAATTATGAACCACCTATTTTATTATTTAATATTAATTCTTGTATTTTATTTTAAATTTTTAAACAAAATATTAAAACATGGAGTGTTTCAACTCCACTAATAAGCATAAAATGAATAACGAATTAAACTGAATCGACTCATTTAAATAAATAAATAAAAAGTTTTCCGAAAGGGAAAAAATAAAATCAACCAATACACTTTAGAAAAAATAACTGTTAGCGGAACCATTGTGTTTGGGTTCTATTTTTTTTTATAAAAAAAACTAACCATGCACAACCTTATCTCAAGGCAAACCTAGACAAAACCAGAGGCACAAAGGCAACTTGAGCAAAAGATTGTCAAGGATAGTGACACAAATGAAATTAGGTCTTAAATCTGACCTCTACAGTCATCATCAGTGAAGCTATTTCAAGGATGCGTCAACAAACTCAACATGCAATTAGGTTATAGCACAAGAAAAAACTAATCCCCGCTGTTCAACATCCTCCCTAGTCTCCACATGCAAAACATTCAAATTCAAACTAAGCTTGACCACTCACTACTACGAATAAAGTTGACACGATAAACACGGAACCGAGAATACTTCCGCAGGCCACGATCACTCGATCAGACGAGTAGATCAACTCTCCAAACCATTATATCATCTAACTAAAATTTAAGCTACGCAATCTTCCGCTGAAGCTATGCACTGATCAGAAACTACCACGGACAAACACGAACAAAATAATTGTCAATTCAAAAACAAATCAAGCAACAGCAACGCACACAGATACAATAAATAGCTAAGATCTACAAAATCAACATCATGCACTAATTTTTTTCTAGGTTTTGTTCAGAGAAAGAAGCACAACAGCGAAACGAAATAAGCAGAAAATAAAGGATGATACTATTGATAGAGTATATATAGTCGAACAGAAGTAGAAGTAAAGAAGAAGAGATAGAGAACCGTTCTTGGCCCGCAGTGTCCCAGATCTGAGCCTTGACGCTCTTGTGCTGGATTACCAGAGTGCGCGTTTGGAACTCGACGCCGATTGTGGCCTTCGAGTCCAAACTGAACTCGTTTCTGGCGAAGCGCGCAAGAATCTGCGACTTCCCCACCGCGGAATCGCCTATTAGCACCACCTTGAACACGTAATCTACCTTCTGGTTCGCGTCTCCGTAACCTCCTCCGCTAGCCATTGTTTTTCTCCAATCCACTTCTTCTTCACACACTCACCAAAATTTCTCTGCTCTTTCAGTTTTGAATCTGGTTTGGTTCGGATTGAAATTGAACAATAATGAATGATGGATTAATTAAGAAACGGTTTTGGTTCAGATTTAATTTGGAGGAGGACTGTTATGACTCATGAGTGGACCTTGTGTGACACGTGGCAGAATTCTATTGGGTGAAGGTCCCAATGCGCTTGATTTGTTCGAATTAAAAAAGAAAATAATATGTATTGAAAATTTGAAAGGGAAAGGAAGATAGTTGGGAACAGCTTTATTACAGTGATCGCGGTGTCAAAAAGCGAATGTCTCGGCATTGGACGGAGTTCTCTCATTGACCGTTTTGACGGCAATTCGACTTGTTTGTCAAATATAAAATAATTTTTTAATGCTATTGTCTGATGATGATTTATTTGTACAAAAAAAAATTAACATTTGTTTTTTTAAAGTATTTTTAAATATTTGTATTTAATACTTTAGTGATATACATTTAACCTATTTAAGTATTTTTAACATGATGATTTTTTTTAAATTCTTATCTTGCTACATTTTTACTAAAATTAATATTATAAACGAAATTGCTTTTCTTTCTTCTTTTTTTTGGTTTAAAATGCACATGTTTTTGTGATTCTATTAACTGAGTTTTTTTTAGTTCATAATAACTAGTTGGTTCACCAAATGTACGAGATTATTTTAAAAAAATAGTAATTAAATTTAATATTTATAAAGTATCATCTATTGAGAGGTTATATTTAAAATTATTTGTATATATATTTAATTAGTTATTTTTAGTTGGATTACTAGTGTAATGTACGAGAATATTTGGTAGTAACTTTTATAATAAATTTATTTATTATATTTTAAATTGTCAGATTTTTAATGTATGAAAAATATAAATTTTCAAACATTATTAACGGACATATATTAAATAAATTATTGTTTGTCTGTGCATAAATATGACAAATTATTTGAAATGTTTTTATTATTTTTGAAAAATTATATAATTATGTAACTATTCCTATAAGTAAACAAACATGAGAATTTGGACTATAATATTATTATGATTTTACACAATTTATATAAGATAAACAATAAATTACACTCATTCTTTCTTTTTTTTTAGATTGCATTCGATACTCTTTCATGGTTTCAACCTATAGAAAGATCTTTTAAAAGTTATAAAAATGTTACATTGTCTCTTAACTCATAAGCAGAATTAATTTTGTTACCCATTCATTTCAAGGAACCTACACGTGTGTATTTGTATATACAATTTTTTTCCCTCTTTGATAGAGATCTATGTTATAAAGAAATTCACATGTGTTCGTTTGTATCAATTTAATTAAGTTGCATGAAAGACTTTTTAATACATAATATATTAAAATAAACATATAACCATTACCTTTTGAATTTTGGAGTACTTCTTTGGATATAATATTTGAAATATTCTATATATCTTTATTTTTATTTCAAAATATTTTTTAACGCCGTGGTTTGTTGATTTATTTGTACAATGACTTTTTAAACATTTTTTTAAGCATTCTTAAATATTTGTATTTAATGCTTTAGTGATATATGTTTATCTTTTTTTAAGTATTTTTAATATAATATTTTAAATTTTTTATCTTGCTAGGGACATTTTACTAAAAATAATATTACAAATATGATTGCATATTTGCATCTTATTAAAAATGCACTGGTTTATGTCATTCTAATAATTGAATTTTTTAGTTCATAATAATTGACAGTGCATAATTATTCTAACGTCTCAATACATTTATTTACATGTTATTATATTGTAAATTAGAGTTTATAAAATAAAAAAATTATTATATTAAGTAATTTGATACTTATAATCTTTAAATAATGATCGAAAGTTGATTTTTACTTTAAACATGAAACTATATAAATATCATCTTATTTTTATAAGAGCCAATTCAATAAAAATAAGTTGTAATTTTTTATAAAATTAAATATAATTTATAGTATCAAATATTTTAATAATTTTAATTTAAAATTGTTTATTAACCCAAACTAATTTGGTCTTTTATTTATTTATTTTTTTGCATAATTTGAATATTTGTTTTAGAAAATAATAGGTCGAAAGTTTTTTAACTTGTACTATTTTTTTATCCTAACCTAATTCGTAGATCTAAAAATGTTAAAATGAGCATTAACTTGTAACTTCATTTGCCTTCAACTTCTTGGTTTGTGTTTGGTTTATAGAAAAAAGTGAAAGACAAGGAAATGAAAGGGATGAAAGAAAAGAAGTATAGAGTTAAAAGATGTTTAGATTGTTTGGCAGGAGAAACAATGAAGAGAAAATAAAGTTTAATATGCTTTTTTAAGTTGATAAATAATATCTTATTTATAATGTTGATATTTAAATTATAAATGTTAGTAAAATAATTTTGTAATGAACACTTTTGTGCTTTGAAATGTGTGTGCTAATTTTTTAGTAATTTTTTTTATTGTTTTGATGGATTAACTTTTAATGTGAGACTCATTATAATTTTTCATTTTTTTAACTATTATATGCATAGTAAGAGTGATAATAAATCAAATTAATTTAAAGTTAGTTTAAAATTTAATTTGATAATTAATTAACTAATCAAACTTGATTCATGAGCTAAATAAGTTAAATTTAAATTAAAAATTAATTTTGAAAAATAAATAAGTTGAACTTAAATTATGTATAATTTAATTCATTTAATTTATGAACCAGTTCAACATGTAAATATATAACTTATTTAATTAATTCTCTATTTAATTACATGTTATTAAAATTTGAAAGAACTTTTCAAACTTAATTAACACTGACGTTTTATGGTTATAAATTGAGTTATTTATTATTTTATGCAAAGTGAGTAAATTTTATTTATGCATGCTTTAGTTGTAATTACGTTTTTTTTTGTCATACCTTAATATTTTGTCTAACAAAACTCAAATAATAATTTTATCTAAAATTATTAACAAATTGAAAATTGAAAATATATAGGATTCAAATATTTTAACTTTTGGTTCATACGATTCAAGTTCATGAGTTGAACTAAGTAGTTCGTAAACTTGAATCAAGTCGAGTTTAAATTAAAAAAATATTTATGTCAAACTCAAATAAAACTTGTTGAGCTAAATATTACCTAACCAAATTGAGTAATAAAGTTCAGTGCAACTCAAATTTTAATCTATTTCCATCTAAACAACAAAAGCAATTAATTTTTGTTACTTTTCATTTCATATCGAATATTTCCTTTCACTTTCATTGATAACAAAACAAAAATACTAATTTATGAATCATTGGAATAATGATGATTTGTGAGAATGATAACTCTCGCTTATTTTTCATGAGTCTCCCAAACCTATTTTTAATTTTTCTATGTTTTTATTTTTTATTTTTTATTCACTTGGTTTTAAAATTTTCTATTATGAATTAATGTATTATCAAACTTTTATATCATTTTTAAAATTACATCGAACAACTCGTGATCCAACTAATCTAACTAATATAAAATTAATTTGGATTATATTTGTTTTAACTTGTAAAAAAATAAAGTTATCAAAAATTAGTAAAGGGGTTAAGGATAGGAAAAACTCTCAAATTAAAGAACCCAAAAGAACTTAACCTTCCTAAATTAGTATAATGTATTTTAAAAAAAAAAATTTATATAATTTTAGACAAAATGATGGACCAATTTGGCTTAACCTAACAAATCAACAAATCTCATTGACCAATAAAAACTATAGATTGTAAATAATTTAAGTTGAGTCAGACATTCACTTTTTACACTTTACTCATTTATTGGGGAGTTAGACTAAATAATCCATTTTGATAACTTATAAAAAGATAAATCTATTTGAGATTACTCACTTTTATGATAACCTGTGCTAAAACAATCAAAGTACGTGAATTGACTTATTTTAACACATAATTAATGTAATAATGTCATTTTAGAATTATAAGTATGTTTTTAAAAATTAATAGGTAAACTAGTTGAAAGCATAGAAACAAATTCAAAGTTATTTAATAAATTTGAAAATATATAATAAAATTAACTATTGAGTTTGATAAGTGTAAAATGAAAAATAAGAATATAATTAATTACTTGTGTAAAACTTGAATTTTGGTAATGATATATTTTTAAACAATTATTTATCATTTTGTTCGTCAAGTATTTTTTTTTAATTATTTTTTTTATGGAGATTAGTTACTTATTTATTGACAATGTGAAATGTATTGATTAAAGGTGTTAAATGAGTCGAGATCGGTTGCAACTTGTAAATGAGTTGGTTCACCTTAACTTGAATTTTTTATAAGTCACCTATTTTGTAATCCAAATTAGCATGTTACGTAGGTCAAATTGGAGTATTGTCTTTAGTAAAAAAAGGGAAAGGTTAGGGTTCAGATGAGACTCTAGGGCTTAGAGTTGTTATGGTTTATCGTGGGCCAGGACAACAATGAGATGACACCCACATCACCCATATAAAAGGTGGACATAATTAAAAAAGCAAGATCATGTGAAAAAAAAACATGAAAACAAATATGTATTTTTTTTTAAAACACACCAAGAAATAAAGTAAAAGCAATTCCCCTAAAAAGTTTATATATATATATATATATATTACAAAAACTAAAAAATAATATAAAAATTAATTGATTCAATAGGTCTTGAACCTATAAATTATTAGTCTGACCTAGTCAAATTAATCTAAGTTTATTTTTTGTTACTTTTTTTGTTGAAAGTGGGACATTTTTGACACATAGTACCAATATCATGATTATAAAGAAAACTATGATATAAAATCAACCTTTATATATTAAATATGAATATTTATGTTGTAAAAAAATGTTTTAAGAATTTTTGTTCTAACAAAAGTTTTTTTAGGAAAATTTTCAACTTATTATCTAATTCACTTTTTATTTATAATAACTATTCATAAATTAAAATTAAAATTTAAAAAAAAATATCAATAAATAAAAATAATATTATGCTAACTTGATTAAGCAAGTAGGTGATATACCATGTTTAAAATAATAAATATCATTGGATATAACAATAACAGAGATTTGAGAAGTAATTATTGTTACATGTTGGATTTGTTTTAAGTTTATTTGACTTTTTTAAAAAAAATAATATCCATTTTAGGTTATTAGTAACATACTTGTCCCTTAGAATTTAGGTTAATGACAATTTGGTGAAGAATGGGTCATTATTAAAATGGTGACCTGCGTGTTTTGCACCCAAGGCGGTTTGGCTAATGTTTAGAAAAAGCTCAAGTTTGAAAACCGAATCAAATATGTTGGATCCAACATATTTCAAGCATGATTTTTTTTATTTTAACTCAGTAAAGATAAAAATGTAAAGATTAAATTTATTAAGGATGAAAAAGTCATTAACAATTTGTTATTTTAAAAAATAGAAAATAAAAGAAAAAAAAAAAGCTGCCAAATTAGCTAAATTTCATGCACCACAATGATAGTTATTGAAAGTTCGGTCATGGTAGATTTTGTTATTATGTTATAATATAAATTATTTTTTATAAATTTAAAATATAATTTATATATTTAAAAATATCTATTATATAAATTTTAAATATTTAAATATAATATTTATTTATATATAATTTATTATAAATTTTAGTTATATATAATAATAATTTATATAGACTAAAATACTAGTCAATAATAAATTAAGATAATTGTATGAATGATGGTTACGTTAAAAAGAAAAATAAAAAGTTATTTTCTATCAAATATTTAAAATAGAAAATAGATTAACAATATTTGGTTTGGGCCAACCCAACAAAATCTAACTTTCTTGTTCAATCACGCTAATGATATATACATACACCCTCTTTTAAAAAAAATTATTAAATTCTTAAATTATCCTTAATATTATTTGAAATAAAAAATATTATCCTGAAAAATTTTTTTCGGAGGTATATTTGTACATAATTATGGAAAGTTTTTTCTAGAATATTAAAATTATTATTCCGGAAATAACTTTCCGTCAGAATAATTTTAGAAAGTACTTTCCGTAACACTAAAATTACTATTGCGGAAAGTTCTTTTCGGAATTATGGTAACAAATACACACACTCTTAATATTTTGGAAAGAATTTTTCGTAATAGTAATTCTATTGTTACGAAAAGTATTTTCCATAATTATTTTGACGGAAAGTTATTTCCGGAATAATAATTTTAGTATTCTGAAAAGTACTTTCCGTAATTATTTTGACGAAAAGTTCTTTTCGGAAGGCTCATGATATATACACCTCCTATTTTTTTTTTTTTATAAGTACACCTTCTTTATTTTTTTAAAACAATTATAAAATATTATATATATATATATATTTTAATTTTATACCTTTAACTTTCAATTTTCTACTTTTTTTTTTCACACATTTTTTTTTCTCTTTCAATCTTTACATGCTACCAAAATAGGTGGGGTGAAGGAAAGATAACAGGATGCATGTAAAATTTGAAAAAAGAAAAAAAGAAAAAAAAAGAAAGATCTGTAAAAAAAAGTACTAAATTAAATATTGTAAATATAAAATTAAAAAAAAAAAGCAAAAAATTAAGAATATTTTAAAATTTTAATTATCTTTTTTAATAGAAGATATACTTATAAGAAAAAGTTTGAAAAATACTTTTTAGAATAATTTTTTTTTATTTCAAATAATATTAAGAATAATTTAGGAATTTAATATTTTTTTTTTAAAAAGGGGGTGTATGTATAAAAAAATGGAGGTGTATATATCATCAACCAAACAATGATGCTGCGTCGTGCATTATACATGCGAAAGGGGCCAGGCCAGGCCCAATTTAAGAGTTCATCGGAAGTGGGCATCGCGTCACATCGCAGCGCGTGAGAATGGAGGAGGAAGAGCACGAGGTGTACGGTGGTGAGATTCCCGACGTCGGAGAGATGGACGGAGACGCTGAGCCTCACCGTGGCTCCGCCGACGTTGACATGTCCGCTGCCGACGACGACGCCGTCAAGGTCTCTCTCTAGTTAGTTAGCTCCCTTTTCAGTTTCACCTCTGCACAATTAGAAGAACAAGTTGTGTTGATTGCTTTGGTTTCGTTTCAGGAGCTCGACGAGATGAAGGAGCGCTTGAAGGAAATGGAAGAGGAATCTGCGGCTCTTCGTGAAATGCAAGCCAAGGTCGAGAAGGAGATGGGCGCTGTTCAAGGTACCTTCTCTCTTCTCATTCAATGCTTTCTATGCTTGATTAGATTCATTGTTTTGCTTCGGAAAAAATAATTACGATATTTGATTTTGTTATGCTGCATGAATTCGAGAAATGACTCTCTATTTTATGAAAATGATTTTCTCGTTCGTCGCGTCCTTCCATAATTCATGCCGATCGCGTTTTCTATGTTTGTTTAGGCCTTTTGACTCGATGACTGTGGCTGGTTAGTGATATGTAGAATGTTGACTGTGTGAGTCAAAACTCGCTATTATTCAAAGTTAGATCTCAGGTGTTTTAGGTTTAGGTTACATTCAAATTTACCTCCCCAAATAATATTCAACTACTAGATGCTGATATTATTTAGGGAAATGATACTTGTACAAAAATGTCATCAGTGTTTTTGTGTCTACTTCTCTGTCACATTATTTGTTACGTTTATTAATGATGGAGAGATACACATAAAAAATGATGTTTTGTATGTGAATTATTATTCCATAATTTAATTGTGGCGGGATTGTGTTTACCTACTATGATGGCTGCATCTTAGCAACCTATTGCTGCTACCTGTGTTTCGCAATTAACAGCCTTCATCTTTTTTTGTAGTGTGTGAATTTATTGACTTAAGAGATTTCATTCGTTTTTTAGGTTGTTCACCTGACAGAGTGACTTTGGGGCTAAGGTGTTGCTTGTAATCGTGATATTTACTGTGATTTCTGAAATATTCGTTAATCTTTACTGCTATATTTTCAAGCAATGATTAAACTTTTGAGAGAATACAAGTACGACAATACACGGTGCAGAGTCAGGCAATTAACTTACCAAATCATCTGATCTGACTGATATTTAATGTAAAAGCCTGTCCTGCATGTTTACTTTATTTACTTCCAATTTTGTTTGTTTTTCATCTTGATTTAAATCTCTTATGCAGATACTGCCAGTTCAGATGCTTCACAGGCCAACAAGGAGGAGACAGATTCTCGTTCTGTTTTTGTTGGCAATGTATGAATTTTCCCATTAACTTAATTGACAGTTTTTCCTTTTGAAATATTGTTACCTGCTTCTTTCACAAAATTGTATATATAGAAAATGTGTGAATTTTCCCATTCACTTAATTGACAGTTTTCCTTTTGAAATATTGTTACCTGCTCCTTTCACAAAATTGTAAATATAGAAAATTAGGTTGTTAAGTTGAAGGCCAAGTTTTACACTGTACATATGAAGGTTGTGTTCCAACAACATTGCAAATCAGCGTGTTAAGTTGGTGGTTGACTTTCATAAAAAATCTCACCAAAGTACTATGTAGATGCCCTCGTACAATCTGCTTGTTCTCTTATATATTTATTCATTGCTTCTACTATGTAGGATACTTATGGCGTGTTTGATTCGGTGTTAATAACTTGATTTTTCACGTCAAATTGGAAGCAAGTAGTTTTAACTTTCACGTTTCGGACAGAATTGACGTGAAAATATATTATGAAACGCTAAAACAAGCACGCACTTAGTAGAGGTGTCTGAACATTTTTTATTTTTGGGAATGTCAAATATTAACTTTTATGAAACTTTTCCTTTTATCCTTATATATACTATCCTTGTTATGAATGTTTAAATTGGATATCTCCATTGTCAACAGCATTGGGTCTCAAGCGAAACACTATAGGTGCATTTATGTTGGATTCTTTTATTTTTTGTATTATTTATTTATTTATTCATTATTATTATTATTATTATTATTATATATTTAAAATTGTACACATTTTCTTTTGGTGTGAGTACTGTTCTCCCTCAGACTCAGAGATAATGTTTGACTTCATGTCTCACTATGATCGCAGATTTGGAGGGTCTTTCTTATTACTCAAGTTCTATAATTAGCGCTGGGATGCTTACATTGTATTATGTGGTTGGACCTATGCAATTGGTGTTCTTTTAGGCTTGTAAATTTGTAATAGAGAGGAAAGAGAATGCATGGTGTACTTATGAAGTTTAATAACATATCAAAAGAGGGGATAAAAAGTCAAAAGAGAATGAGGGGAAAAGCATGAAAATTTCTGAAGAAAATGAAAAACATCTCAGAATAAAAAAAATAGAATCAAGCTGAGAAAAAAGAAAGAAATGAAATATGAAAGAAGGAAAAGTATAGCATATGTTGAAGAAATTGTTGACATCTCATGGGGATGGATGAACCTGGTACAGCTGGAGGTAGAATGTGTTAAAGATGCTTCATCTTCCCTACCAGAGGAGATAGCTTGTGGTTATTTGGAAGAGGTGAAGAACACTCTGTATGTGTTAGGCATGCAAGCCTAGTCATAGGGCCTGTTACTGAATGCAATCAGGTTGATGGTGCATGTGTTGTGTCATTTAGCAGATGTGCCAATGGGTAGGCAACTGCTGTTTCTCTATGGTCTTTATCTCAATAACTTTTTTCTATTCTGTGAATTAGACCACCTGGTATTTGGCTAAGGCTTTTTCTTCCACATTTCAAGTCTTTTTGTTCAACATTAGGTTCTCTTTTATGCTTTGTTTATGATGATCTATTTTTTTAATCTTTTCCCCTCTTCTATCTTATCTGAAAAAATTCACATACTGCATCTTTTTACAGAGAGAGTTGGAATAGAGCATTTATTAAAGCTTCTTTTATTTATTTATTTAAATTGATGTTGCAATGCTTCAAATTTTTTTTGTGAAATGTGTATCAAATCTGCTTATTGTTGCATGCTAATTTGTAGACCAGGAAAGGGTTGTGTTATCAAAATTTGCTTTAAGGAGGAAAATAAATAGTGGAAGGCATGAAAAGGTTTCCCTGGTGATTGAGAAGAGCCCAAAAAAATAGTATAAACACTAGTAAGTTGTAATAAGCAATTTTTATGGGATGCATGAGCTGGTCTGGTTATCGTTTTGGGATTGGGATACCATGTACTGACCTGATTTGGTGGATTGAAGACAGAACTGGTGATTATATTACAAGTTAAGATATTTCCCAAGAAGCTGGGAAAATGTGGACTTGTGTTTAGTTTGTGGAAGACAATAACTGCCATTCATGTATTAGAATGCTAAGACGGTGGCCTGGCCTCCTTTTAGAGATAAAAAATCATCAACTTTGTTTGTAGGGGAGACAAGTTATTTTCTGCTACACTTGAAGGCCTGCCAATGATTCTTTTCCTTCATTTAGGGACAAAATAGTAATTTAAGAAAATTGGAATTTCATGTAAACTATCCCGAGTCATTTACATGATTTTATGTTAAATACAGCTAAAATGCATCTATAATTTTATGTTTTAACCTTTTTGTATTTTGCATTTTAAAAGGGTTTTAACCAAAAATATTGAGGTAATATATTTACTAGAACGAGAGTCTTGAATATACACATTTTATCTTGACATTGTGCTCCATGAGTGCAGTTCCTTTTATGATTAGTTATTCAGATGTGAACACTTTCCAGACTAGTATGTTATATTATTCATTGTTGGCGTCCAAATCCCTTGGAATTGATTTATGCTGTGCAGGTTGATTATGCATGCACACCAGAAGAAGTACAGCAACACTTCCAATCTTGTGGTACAGTGAACAGGGTTACGATCTTGACAGACAAGTTTGGCCAGCCTAAAGGTTTTGCTTATGTGGAATTCCTTGAAACTGATGCAGTTCAGGAGGCTCTCCTGTTGAATGAATCTGAATTGCATGGCCGTCAATTGAAGGCACGTTGTTTTAATTGCTATTATCTATGAAATGCTTGCAAAACATTGGGTTTCAATTAGGCATGAGGCCATTCTACTAAATTAGTAGTTTTATTTTATTTTATTTTATTTTAATTTATGTATTTTCAGGTTATGCCTAAGAGGACCAATGTTCCTGGAATGAAACAACATCGTCCTAGGCGCTTTAATCCTTATATGGGGTATCGCTTCAGGAGGCCATATCCTCCCCCTTACTTTTACTCCCCTTATGGATACGGGTATATACTTCTTATATGGCTATATGCCCATCATTTGCATCTACGTAAGTGAAGCCAAGTTATCTTGATTCATGTTTTCTTAACTTTTTATTTTCATTTAACATACAAACTGCAGAAAGGTTCCCAGGTTTAGAAGGCCAGGTCGGTACATGCCGTACTATTAGAATGATGTTATGTTTATACGGACGAGGATGGGAGCGTACTGAAACAATAAATTTTGCTTCGATTGCTTGAGGTAGCATCTAGTGACGCCGCGTCGTGTTGTTGAGTTCTATGTGATTAAGGACTGAGGAGTATCTATTACCCAATTATCATCAAGCTTCGTTAATGGCCTTGTATGTTTCCCCCCCAAGTTATGGGAATATGGTTTAGAGTATTGCCTTCAAATGTATTATGTTTTGCTGTGTAATTTATCCAATAAAGTGTTGGTATATATGATCAATTCACGCTTATGAATGAAACAATATGACCTCGTTCATTTACTCTTGATTTACCTTCAAACAGTATTTTAACTCTTGCATTGCATATAAATTATTACTTATAAATTATACTTAAAGTTAGTATAAATAAATATTTTAAGAAATATAATTATTTTTAAGTTATGATAAATAATTTATATTGTGACTTGAGATTTTTTTTTTTAATTATTGATAATTTATTTTAAAAAAATATTTAATTTTAATTTATAAATAAATATGTAAAAATTTGTATTAGATAATAAGTTAATTTTTTAAAGACTCTTTTTATTAAAGAAAAATGTCTACAAATTTTCTTATTTAATGAAAGTTCTCATGTTTAATACATAAGAATAGATTGATTATACATAAGAGTGAATTGATTATGAATGTCTTCACTTGAATTAACAAATGATATTAACATATTCATAATTTATTTATTCTTAATTATTTATGAATCAAAATCTAACTTGATTTCAAGAATTTATAATAATTTTTTAATCAACTAAGTTAGATCATTAAAAAAAAACTAAGTTAGATTTTGTTAATAAATATGTTCACTTTATTTAATATAAATTATATTAGCATATTCATAAATTATGAACGTTGACTTAGTGGTGAGATTGAAAAAAAATATACGACGATTTAAATTTAATTTTTATTATTAAAAAAAATCATGTATGCACATGTAGAATTTTTGACTAAAATATTATTTTTTTTTACAAAAAGTACCCAAATAACACTTGTATTAATTTATTTACCCAAGTAAACCTGTTTATTGTTCATGTAGAATTTTTGGGTTTAGGGCATGTGTAAATTCTGTATCTGGAACGGCCTGTTCTAGATGCAGAATTTACACATGCTTAAACTCAAAAATGCAAAAAAAAAGAAGAAAAATATAAAATACTGCTCAGAATTTGGTTTCTCAGGAATTGAATTCTGAACATGAATAATAAAAGGATATACTTAGGTAAATAAATTGGTACAAGTATTATTTGGATATTTTAAAAAAAAAATATTTCAGTAAAAAATTCTGCACATGTAATATCGATTATGTTTTTCATTAACCATTGAAATCACCTAATATACTCTGCAAAATAAATTACTTATTTTATTCTCTAAATTATAAAATTGTCCGATCTACACCGACAATCAAGATATTTACTCAGTTTTGAAACAAGTTTAAGGTATACGAGATGAAAAGTGATAATTTGTGCTTGTTTATTTTAAAGTTATTAAAAAAACTTTTGATATGTGTACCCAAAAAATAATAATTTTGATATAATTAACATTTAAATTGTCAAACAAAAGTAAGATATACTCATATACATATAAATTAATTTCAATTTGAATTCACAGACAAATTATTTTTGGCATTTAACCAAGAAATAAGAATAATTCTATTATAACATTTATGATTTACCACACAACACAAGCACTTGTTGGGTCCGAAGGCATGGAAGAGTTACGGAAACTTGAAAAGGTACAGAGTATGCTGGAATTCATGGAATCACGGCGCGTTTCAAACTCAGACGATCACCGCTCTAACCGTTTTCTCGCTAATTTTATTCTCTTCTTAATCGAACCCTGCGGAGACCTTGCCATGAACGACAAGTGCTGCTTGCTTTCTCAGTTTATTCCCACTGTCAGTTCCACTTCCACATTTCATTTGCATTTGAATTTGCATTTGCATCATGGCCACTGAAATCGTTTCACTTTCCTTTTGCAGCTCTCACCCGCTTTCCTCGACGACGCGTATCAACACCACCTTGTCGCCACCAAACAAGAAGATTCCGGTACTTCGTTGCTACTATCATATTCATATGTATTTATTTTTTATTAGGTTTACTATTTATTTCCACATTATTATCGAATTTTCTGTCTCGTTTATTTGATTCCTGTTAAAAGAGTAGTTGTAACTATAGCAGTTACTATGATATTCATTTTTAGTTTTCTTTCCCATTTCGTGATTTCTCTTAAATGGAAAGGACAATGGAAAGGACACTAGTCACTAGGTGAAATTGGTTTATTAATACTTTTCAGGTTTTCCCTTCATATGTTTTGTTTGATGTTTTATTTCTAGTTTTATGATTTTTTTTTATTTTTATTTTTTTACTTTCAATTAGATTTTCAACAAAGTCTTGTTGGAAGTGCTTTGCGTAGTTGCAATCAGACGAAAGAGTACAGTTTGTTGCAAAGTTGTAATGAAAGCACTGCCATGGTCGAGCTGGATTCCATGCAAATGGCCAATTCTACTCTTGAGGATTTTGTAAGTATATATTCAAAAATTAACCTTTTTGCTGTGATCATGGTATTCTGCTACAAACTTATAATGCTTGATTAATTTGGAAATGTGACAATCTTGTAACATTTAAACAAACTTTGTTGGTATCTGAATAATACCCGGTTCATGCCATCAATTACTACATTGATTAATAGATGAATAAAGTACATATATCAGGTCTGCATTGCAGTTTTCTACACTACAGACAATTGAAGAGAGTAATTCAGTGGAAGGCTTGATACTATTTAATATATGAGCCTCCCCATAAAAAAATGCTTTGTGATTATGATATTAATTTGAAGTTTTTATTTTTTTCAGTGCAGATCTTATTTTATGTTTCATGGATTGGATGTAAGCAAGCCACAGTCAATCTTCAAATACTTACCTATTCTTTCATTCACGGAGAGTTATATTTATCAGGTAGATGCTAGATTGATGTTATTAAAATCAGCTGTCTTTTAGTTTTTCAAGTAAATTATTGTTTTGAAAGCGTGAGATTCATAAATGGGGTTCCACCTCACGTGTGGAGCTAATCAATAAGAGCAAAAGTTCATGTGGCTAGGAGGCAAAATAGATAGAACACCTTAAGCCTGATGAAAGGCAAGGCAGGTCATGAATTGATTGACCTTGCTAAAGAGGGATAAAACTTAAATGCAGTACCATAGGTGTTGTTTTTCGATCAGAATTGGAGTTTTACCTCGATAATATGCATAATAAAGGAATCCATTAAATGTCAACGTGTATAATTGAAGCAAAACTCTAATTCTAATTAGAGAACAACACCAATAAGTTTTGTCTGTTGAGACTTGAGAGGCACTCAACATGGCATCTGTTTAAGATTAACGTCATTATGGAAATTGAGAAAATGATGAATATTTATTGTTATTACGGAGTGACTTGGTCAAGGCATATCTTGATTGTGAAGTAATTTTGGCAATAATTGGCATTGATTCATTTGACTCTTCGTTGTTTTGGGTTTGGCCTATATAAGGTCCATCATTTCAACTGTCAAAATGACATCAGTCAACATCCCTGAACAGTTGTAATGCGCACATAATGCTTCCCGTTTCCAGTATGCTCATGTTTGATGTTTACCTAGGTGGTAGAAGCACTGAACTCCAGTTTATGATCTTGTCTGTAACTTTTTTTTTTGTCAAGTATCTCATCTCAACAAAGTCAAAGGTCATGTAATGCACTTTACACATGAATACTATTAATCAGAAAATACACACCTCCAGCAAAAGCAATTAAATTTTTTGTTGCTTAGACTTCAGTACCCTGCACAGCCTTGCAATGGCTGTTTCTTACATTAAGACTCTCCAAATTTTATGGATATACCTCAGTGTCTCAGTGGGTTACTCGGCCTTTGAGTTTGTAGAGGTGAGATTCTTGATGCAATATTACATACAGCTAATACATGAGGGTGAAGTGGGCTCTTCTTATTTTGCTACTAGGTAGCATATGTTTTGACAATTTTTTTTGTTACCGTTACTATTTGAGAATTAGGGACATAAATTCAAATAGTAAGTATGCAATATGCAAAAGCTACTAGTTGTGCTGAGAATCTGTTGCTGTTATGATGCAGCTGGATAAAATGAATGAGAAATTGCTGCAAACACCAAACAATGGAAAGTCTGTATTTGGAGAAAAAGATGAGGTGATTGATTGCATTAGGGAATTATGCAGTGGAAATTTGACTGTTCATTTTTTAAGTAATAGCTTTCATTTTTCTTATATAATTTAATTTTCCACATAGAGAGGAACTCATGTTTCAGCTTCTTACATCTCAAATGACCCAGTTAGACCACTTATGACTATTCTTGAACACAAAGGCCTTTTGACTGACAGGTGTGTATTCTGCATTTTATACCTTACATTTCCAGCGAAGTAGTTAGGTTGAGCTTAATTTGGTTCTATGTTCTATTTGCTTGATGAGATTAGGATAAGAGAGGAATTTAGACATGGAGAAGAGTACTGGGCTCTTGAAAGAAAGCTCTGTTATGCACTAATAAACAAAGAGGAGGTATACATAATTTGTGCACTTTTCTTTCTATTCAGAGAATGGGTACACATTCAACCAAATCCTTATCAAAGTTCCTTATTTGTAATCTACTAAATTATTTGCTATTCAGATTCTTGTTGAAGATGTGATGAAGGCTATTCGTTTAAAGTCTTTTGATTACCGAGTGCTGAATCTTCTTCTCTATCAACTGCGAGGGGCAAAGGTACAAGTACAACTGATAAGCAAAAAATATTGAGTGATACTGCATTATTCATCTAACACTTGACATGTGTGTGCACACATGCAAACACAGTTTGTGAGCTGCAAATTGATTTTGTTCTGAAATATTGCTGGCAACATAAATTTCTACATCTGATGACATAAATATTAGCTAAATATATGACTTTAGGATAATTGTGTACTTCTAAATTTGTTTAGAAGGTTGAGGAGTTGCATATGGAGTTTCTCTCAATTTCAGAGTTCCTGGTGGAAGTTTCTGATGATCTGTAAGTACTATCTTTTGTTTCAGTTGATGCCAGATAACATAATATCTCATATATGTATTCATATTTCATACATAAACAAAATTTTGTAATTGCTCTAAACATGCTGCCCTTTCTTGTTCTTTTTCTTTTATATTGTTTTAAGAATTTGGTTATAGGTATTCAGCAAAATCATCAGCAATTGCTTCTTGTTCCCTTTTTTGCCATGTATATATATGTGTATTAAAAAATGCAATTAGATGGAATAAATGGTTGCATTATATTTGCCCCACTGAAAATGATTACATTTTAATAATTTTTTTTGTTTTTCATTCTTTTGATTCTAAAGGCATCCTTTCTACTCTAGGAGTAATAAAAATCTGTCAAACCGAAAAAAATAAAAATATAAGACCAATTGGTTCCAAAAAATTAGGTCCAATACAAAAAAAAAAAAATATATCAGACATCACAATTTTGTGTATGTAGTTGTTAGACATCATTTTTTTATTACTGAAACTTTTGAAAGCTGTTTCCCATCACCATTTTCTGATGAGACCAAACCCTGATTTTTTTTTTGTAGTTCCTTTGCTGTTGTTCAAGTTTCATTTCTGTAGTTACGTGTGCATATATAGATTTCAGCTTTATCCTAGTTTTTTTTTTCAATTTTATAATTTTATTCAACATAATTTTCCTGTCCTGATAATGTTGCAGGTATGATTATGAGGTGAGTTGAACAATCCAAAATTTGCAACCACCATCTGCTATACTGTTGTCTGATTCATAATTTGATTAAATGTCCTCATGCAGGATGATGTTTTAGAGAATAATTTCAATATTTTGCGCATGTTTATCCGAATATATGGAGCTTCAACTGCCCCAGCTATGCTGGTGAGTATGTTGATCTGTTTACAAATGGTGTTGCGAATTTTTACGTTTGCTTATATAATGTCAATATGCTCTGCTGAAATTTGTTGGTTAGCTGATAACTTTCTAGTAACAATTTCAAATGTATTAATTGAACCACCATCATTTTCATTTTGTATACAGGGGAGATCAATACCCACTTACTAAAATAATAAAAATGTCGTCACACACTTTTTGGCACTTTATTTTTAGACACTATTTTCTAGGTGAAATCCCATGCTCTAATCCTACTAATAGAGAGTGGGCTCAAAATTATTTAAGGGGAATAGCATCAGAGATTTGTGTTAAAAATAGTGCCCGCTACTAGCATTTTTCTTAAAATATATCCTCTTTTATTTGCTGATCTACAGTCGAATAGTTTTAGTATAAACCACCAGTATTTCACATTCTCAGCTTACATATTTTCTTACGGGATTGTTAAACTCAGTACCTGAATTAAAGTAACGTTTTACTTTTTAGTATGATGCATAACCTCAAGTTGCAAGCATTGAGTGAAGAAGTATCAATTTTAGGATTTCTCCTTCCTCCCACTTTTAAAGGGAGAGGAGGTGCAATTAGAGTTTGAACTCGAACCTCATTGACAATGCATCTGTGGATAAGTAGTGGAATAAAATTATTTTTGTTTGAGCCTTGGATGTCCCTGTCATATCTCATCTTGTATCTTGAGAAATAAGAAAACTTCTATCAATCTAATTTCGATAACATCACCTTTTTACACAAATCAGTATTGTTTATTTGCATGTATGAATGAGTTTGTTTTATTCCTGTGCTATTTTACAATTGGTGTAATCATAATAGCTATAAAAGATATGCTTATTTAATATATTTAAAAAATTATTGTGTCAAATTCTAAATTCCAGGCGAAGTGTATTAGTGAGGCCGAAGATAAGTATGAATCTTTACTGAAATCACTCGACCCGCAACTCTCTCTAAGCTACCAGAAAAGATGTGCAGAAGCCACTAAAGAAGGTAATTTGCTGTAGCCAATCAAGTTGTTATAGCAGTATGTTATATATTTAGTCGATAACTGTGCGGTACCATTATCTATTGGCAACCTTTAGGTGGAAAGGTATCAGAGCACCCTCTTGGCACGTGGAATATTCCAACCGTGATTCAAGATGAGGAATTGTATAGATTAAAGTTGAAGTCAGATGCTTCGTGAATATAAAAACTTGAACTGTGTCTCTATGAGGTAATCAATAATCAATCCAATTCTAATTTTTTCACCCCAGTGTCCTTGTCCTCCTAATGAAACGAAGGTTAGTGTAACAAGACGAGTTCAAGTTGAAATGTTGAATTTAGAAGGGGAAAAAGGATACACGCACACAATCATTAAAGGACACAAAAAGATAAACATAAAAAACGTATGTTATGTTTTATCCATTAGCTATTTATTTTTCAAATCTTTTTTGTTCTCGCTCAGTTATGTTTGATTCAGGTAATCATAACAATTTTCTTGTAAAAAGATTTCATACCGTATAGCAATGAGAAATATCTAGAAAGTTAGTATTTTTGTATTCTTTGTTTTCTTTCTTTTTTTTCCAAGTTAGATACTTTTGCCTAAACAATTAGTTCAAGGTAATAAATTAGGAGAAATGCAATGAACAACGATATTTCTATGTAACAAATATATATATATATATATATATATATATATATATGGTAATTTATATGAATAAGAGAGATGAAAGGAAAATAATTTAAAAATAAAACGAGTAAT